AGGACGTGGTGGGTTTTCGCCTGGCAAGCGTTCTTCCTATAAAAAGCCACAAATGTCCGTTTAACAACACTGCGACGTGGCGGAGGTGACTCGCCACTGAATAAAGTCACTACCAATAAGCTCACACTGACAAGCTGACCATGACTATATACTACCATGATGGATACACCGCGATACTTTCTTATCTGCATATTTCGTCGTCACGTCATTTTCTGCGCATTCACCATCGTTTTTTACGCTGCACTCACATGAACCCAGCGTATGGTGTAATCGCGATTGAGCGTGTTCTTCACCAGCTCTTTTATAACTGATCAGTCCTAGTCCTGGATCTATTCATGCCTGAATTGTTACTGCACTCTATGGCAGAACGAATGTACCCACACGAACGTGCCCGAACTCATGGCAATGGGCTTTCTTTATTATTATTTCTATCCTATTTGTACAGTTTCAAATAGGAACGTAAGAAGAACCTCTGATAGTCACTGTTACAATTGCCATGATATGTCTGTATAATTGCACTTATTTGCTCAGGCCCTCGCGGGCATGCCTCGCATACCTGAGAATAAATATTTATACATTATTTATTTAAGTGCTGTCGGTACGTAACTTCCTGCAACGTAGATTGACGAGGAGGCCGAATTTGCTGAGGCAGTCGATGCCACTTATGTGTTTTTGGACATTTGCGTTGGTAAACATAATAGGAAATTGGCGTCGTAAAACAATGCTTAGGTGCTACAGCTTCTGGCCGGATGTCTTGATCTTAGTCTGGCTAGTCGCTCGTAGAGCAACTCGGGTTTCTTTCTGAGCGTGTTTTTCCTAAGATTGTGGTATAAGACTGGTTTGGCATCCGTATGGACCAAAAAATGGAGCTTGGTCGTGGTGTCGAACACGTATAGAAGGTGAATGAGGGCTTGGCTAGCAACATCCGTCTCCATTACTAGCTGGCTTTGGCCTTTTCCGGTTGCGAAATCGGAGTTCCTTACGGACAATTGTGTCCCGCTCGATAATTATGTGCTGGTTTACCTGAGCGACGTTGGAAGTAGCAGTAGGACAGTTGACGTGAGCGTGGTGTGCTGCGGCGCGGACCACGAGGACCTCTTCGGTTAGCAGTGCGTTCACGTGGAAAAACAGACCTGCGGAGTTCTAGATGAGATATTCTATCGTCGATCAAATCAAGCCTAGTGCATTCGGATGAGCTGACTGTGATGTACCCAGCTACGTGATAAGGAGTATTCTTAAAGAAATATTCGTGCCTTCCCTCCGCAGCTTCTGCGAGCTTTTTCGGAGTGATATCGTCGCTGAAAACTGATAAAATCGCTGTGATGTGTGCCGGAAGACTGTTTATTCAAAGTTGACGGTGTATGAAGTCGTTGAGTTTTGACGAACCAACTATGGAACGCATGTGTCTAAGAAGCTGAGATGGGTTGCGATCACCAAGCTCGACGCCGGAAATTAAATGCTGCAGACCAGCCTCACCAGACGCAGTGGTTCGTTTAAGGCTAGCTGATTTATGTTTATCATACCGCGCTACTGCGGGCATAGGATCAAGGACATCAATGGTTTCAGAGGCAATGTAGAGAGGTAGGCGCGTGCCGACGTACGAAACACTGAAGAGTATGTAGTGATCTTACGACATCGGAAAGTGGTTTCTACCTGCATAAACCATACACGTGGATTAGGAATGTCAAAGGTAGGGAGCAAGTGTGCGACAGAATTGTCAGTAACAATACATGGGGTTGCATCGGGCATGATTAAGAAAATACATGTTTTCAAAATAATAAGGCGAGGTCACCAATTTATGTAGTGTTCGGAAGAATACTAGGAAGGTTTCAGTCACTTGGTAAACGCAAAAACGGAAAGCGTGAACGCACAATATAATGGAAGTTGAGTTCTGAGCGTAGGTTCCGCTATACATGTGCCACACATCGTGCACGATGGAACTAGACGTTCGACAGTAATTCCTAGTCCAATATCCGCTTTGCTAGCAGACTGAACGGCACGGTAGACAAACAGAAGCAGCACAGCCAAAAATAGCAGGCCGGAGCACGGGCCAAGAAGAAGTATATGCTAATCGTTAATCCAAACAAACTATACAAAGGTGTCATGATAAAACTGATGATAGAATAATAAACATTATAGTTTCCATCTTAACTTGTGGGTATTGGGTCGGTTGGGAGATTACGTGTACGGACGTACCCTTGGCGTTTACTTTTTTGGTAATGCATTCAATGCACTACAATAGGCTTAGAGATGACCTAAACCTAACCAGCCGAAACCTAAGTGGGAAGCTTTGTCCAGATTTAGTTTGGCTATTCTGTCCAGCTAGTCATAGAGCGCTGAAACATGCTTCAGAAAATTGTTAGCAGGGAAGCAACGTTTAAGGGGTTCGAGCGCCATCTTGATGCCCTTTAGTGGCAGCACGACATCTTTCTCTTATCCTGACTAACTCGCATCTTCATACTTCGATTTTCTGTTCTCTACTGTTCATCATGCTTTGGTATTTTCCTCTGACTTCAAGTACAGTTCCTTATCCCGTACCTTCGAGTACTTTTCTTATCATTTGCTTAGTTCACGTGACGGCCGCAGATGGGACTGCAAGGGCAGGAAGCGTGGGCATTAACTGCTTTGACAGAGTGCGTTACGGGTGTTCCGTTTTGGATGCATCAACAACTCTAAGTACCCAAACAATTTCTGTCTCAACGCTTCATCCAAGTTGGAACACCCACACAATTCTCATATCGTTCCAGTCTCATGCGAACTCAGACATGAACTTGAACCTAAAGCAAGGTGCAATAAAGATTTTAGAGTGCGGGGAAGAAACCCTTGGGAAAAATAAGCGCATAACAATTTTGAATATTTAACATTTGTAGGGTATCTTTGCGCAGCCACTACCACAATGTTCTGTATGTCGTACATAGTCTAGTCTATGTACCACAGAACGGAGTAAATAACTAAATAAATAAATAGTTTATTCTCAAATTCATAGAGTCAAAAAGGCGGTGCGCCAAGGACCTGAACCCAAGCCACTCGGCCGGCAACGCGGCGCGCTACCACTTCCCCACGCTAGGCATTACCACGCTCATTCTAACTTAAATGAAAAACGGCCCGTATTTCGGCTATAGCAACATTGGCTGATGGAGCTTCGGAAAATCCGAATAATTCATTCACTTATGTTAAGAGACGCTATGGTTCACCTTCGGTAATCCCAACTTTAATGCTGGACGATGCTGTTCTCCAACCACGTAAATGATCTCTCTGGAGAGCTGGGAGTATCATCCCTATGGTTAGCTGATGACCTTAAGCGATGGAATGTTGTAATTTTTCCCGGGGTTCTGAGACCATACAGCATGCCCTGGACCGGCTCTAGGACTGGTCTACCTTGTGGCTACCGCCCATTATTCAGGCTAAGGGTTCCTTCCTTCCTATAGGAGCAACATTCCCGCCTTCGAGCTACGTACTCGGTGGGGTCGAACTCCCCCTTGTCTCCAACCCGCTAGACCTAGGCGTCGTCCATTCCTCGTCCTTGCATTCTGCGAACAACTGGAAGAAGTTCCGCAAGTAGGGGTTGCAGAATTTTGTCGTTAATACGCCGTTCTTTCAGGGTCTTAACTGCCGACATGTTTAAATAAATAAATAAATAAATAAAATGTTTATTCTCGACTGAGCGAGGCACGTCTGCACAGACATGATCATGTTAAGAGTACAAACTGTGATCAGTCAATGTACAATGGATCAATGAGATTATCGCATAGATTGTTATATAAATGTATGTAAGTGTGTATGTGGGCGTGTTTAGCCGTGTTTATGAAGTTCGTAAATGTATTCCAGTCTTTTTGATCGTGCTTGAACGTGTGGCCAGTGTTAAATGGGTGCTTGATGGCTGTGGATTTGAAGCGGTCGTCCGGATAAGCAATGGGTGACTTTAGTTGGTGGCGAGTCACAACCGCCACGTCACAGTGCTGTTAAGCGGACATTTGTGGCTTTTTATAGGGAGAATGCTTGCCAGGCGGAAACCCACCACGTCCTGGAACACTGCCGCCGAACTATTTGCTGGAAGGGGTAAACCCCATCCACCCAGCTGGCACCACGAGAAGGTTGTTCGGCCAGCCAGCTGTTCTCAGCTTTCGTTCGGTCCCATCTGTAATACCGCGTGCAGGCCTGCCCGCCCTGCTCTGTTCGGGACAAAGTGGAGCTTGAGAGCGTTTTGAGAATAGGTACCAACTTGGCCCTGGGGTTACGGGGGCAACCGTACCCCGAGCGTCTAATTAGCTTGAGTATTTATTCAATGCACTACCGATGGCTTCGAGGGGACCTATTGCTTACTTACCGCATTTTAACAGGAAAGGTTGGACAGGACTTGAGCTGCCTATTTAGCTCGGCTAAGTTTACTTGTCTTCGCTGTCATCCCATGAAGCTACACACGCCTCGTTCTGACCAGATCAGGGCGGAAACTCTGTTATAGCGTTGAGTTATCGAGCGCTGGAACTCACTACCAGAAAGTGTAGTCTAAGAGCCTACGGTTAAAGGTCGCGCGCGTCAGTTAGACGCTCTTGGCTGGCAACACGAAACCTTTCCCTTCTCCTGACCATATCCATCTTCCAACTTAAAGTTCATATTCTGTCATTCTCTTCAGTCTTTGGTGTCAACCTTCATTTAAATGACTGTCCTTCCCCTTTATCTTCCATTTTCTTTCTACTTCTTTCTTACTTCACGTGACCTCCACAGTGGGGACTGCTAGTGAAGGGAACGTGGGTAGTAACTGGTTGACCAGGGTGTGTTTCGGGTGTTTCGTTTTATATCTATCAAAACCTCCTAGCACCTTAACATTTCCTGGCTCAACGGTCCGCTCACGAAGGAACACGCAAGGGATTTTCCTATCGTTCCAGTCCATCTGAATCTGAACCTGAATCTGAACATCCATTACCGCATGTTTGCTGTACCATAGCAACACTATCAGAATCCCATTGATCGCTGTTGGCGTATTCGACGGTCCGGTCGTAATGGATATACTGAAACGCTCCCGTCTCGACAAACTTGTTGGTATGTACCTTGTGGTATAACATAATTCAACATACTAAGACAAAGCAACTAATGACCTTCTCCTTGAGCCGGATATCGAAAGCACTTTGGCAATATGCGATTTGATACGTGGCCAGGAAATAAGGTATTTGTGCATTCATTTATTGTTCATGTTCACAGCGCCAAAACTGCAGTGGCTTCCGTCAAACGGCGACTTCAGAGTGAAAATACTAATGTTACACTTCATACGCTTTACGTAATACCCATCGTTTGTTACGTGGCTATTCTCAGGTGTTAGAGTCGATGATGAAAAATTGTGGGTCTTCCGTTCACGAGGAAGTTGTTACACCTGATTTCCTTCAAGTGCTTTCTTCTCTAACATCGGTAATAGCAATGCTTGTTATATGTCCGTTGTAGCGTTCACCTGAAGTGTGCACTCGCATACTTAACTGCATTCAAAATTGGGCTTTCGTCTTTAAGGGGAGACCTGGTTTTGAAGCGATACATGATGTCTATGAAGACCTGAAAAGTGAAGGATTCAGTTTTCCAGAGCTTTCTGAAAGCGATGCTATGTTCAGCGTTATGTGTGCTCCAAACTGGAAGGAGGAAAATTCTTGCCACCGTTGCAAAGTGGCTTTCACTACCTTCCGCCGTAGGGCAAGTTTCATTTTGTAATCCGTCACGCTTGTCACTATATATTTTAGCTTTCTGGTATTGTGGGATGACATTTTTGGAGTTCAATCCTGATCTTCATCTCGTTCGTTTGTAACCGAAATGATGCCTGTGCACACCGCTTTGGTCGTATAGGCATTATTAGAAATGATAAGTTTGTCATTTCTTGCAATCTTCTGACGTGTTATTCATAAAATTTGCTTTTGTAACGCAACTGAAGCCGTATTGGTCCGTTTGAACTAATGGTATTTAGTGTCTTCACTTCATAAGTTGGTATGTAACGAATGCATGATAAACCGGTCAGTTAAACCATTACCTTTTGTCCGTCATCAACAAGGTGGCTTGTTTATGTACGCTCCAAATGCTTGTCGTTTGCTCCTGCCGCGATGCTGAATTGCGGGTTTCGTCCCACTCGTTCTTTGTCTTATTCCGCTCATCGTACGTTCTTGTCGTCTCGCAGCAGCTGATGCGTCTATAGTTCCTTTGTTGTGCTGCACGTACGGTTCGTTCACAGCCCATACTTCTCACCCGGGCTATCCGAACTGCCCTGCCGAATCCATTACACCTCTGACTTCCCTGTCCGCACGAGTGACCAGTGTCCCCTGGATTGACCGGACGTCTCTGAGTGACCAGTTTTTGTCCCCCCCCCCCTCTGACCCAATTGGACACTTTTTGGACGACTTGGTCACTCAGAAATTTTTTCCCAACCCACCCTTAACCCGTACCCTGAATGAATTTTCCCTAGTTGCAAGTACCGTTAACATTAATGGGAACTCGATACCAAAATCGTAGTTACGCAATAGTACGACCGTAAGGCTAAACCGAAAATGTTTTCCAGTGGCCGAAATTCGACCAAAAAGTGTCCACTTGGGACGGCCTGGGGCACGTAACTTGGTCACTCAGGAACCTCCAATGGTCCCTCGCACCGATTGAAATTACAATCCTTTAAATAAAGTAACGCGTTTTAGGCAACGAGTGGTGTTAAAAATGTGCAAATGTATTTAACAGCATAACTGGATAGATCACGCATTTATTTTCATATTAACTTTTTGCCTCTGCGATTGACCAAATACACTCTTAAACGAAACGGCTGGCCGTCTATCTGTTCGGACAGGGTTGTTACTGACTACCCGTCGTTTATTTACCATTTGAGCCGTTACTCTTTGAATCCGACTATTACATAATAACTACCCAGGTAGCACATACGCGATTTCCAGTTTATTTTCAAATCTCATCGTGAATGTGTAAATGGTACTTTTAGGCTCTTCATTGTCAGTAATGGTGTTATGTGGTTGCTCGGTTCCATTCTTTACTGTTCATTTTTTGACATTCTGGAGCGGTACAGGCTTATTGCACCGAGTTGCTTCCGAGTGACAAACTCTATGACTTAAGGTACACTGAAATGTACTTTTCTTAGCTAGCCATCATCATTATACACGTATCCAGCCAAACCTATTTATCGTCTTCCGGGCCCAAACCAGGGACCTGGGTGGCTCCAACTGAGGCCATCTTCATTCCTTTTGTTCATGACGTCAGATTGCCCCTCTCCTTCCATCCACCCAGAATACTTCATAGGTCAGGTCTTAATGTAGTGTGATAGCTTTTCATCTTCTCCCGTTGAGCCACATTGAGCAGTACTTTCCAAGTGCCCTCAGACTGATTCATAGAAAACATGTCAAGGGTTGCGAGTGAAACCAATTAAGTCTCGGTGCCTCCAGTGGTTTGGGAGAGGTTGCTGATTTCCTTGCTTTAACACTTACCATCCAGAGCCACAGGCCACGAGTTATGCGCTCACAACTCCTTTGTATTAGGGCACAAATGACACGCATTGTCGCTGACGGTAAAAGACCATCCGGTGTTCCCTGGTTTGCCATCGCCCGCCCCAAACCAGATAGCCCCTGATCAAATAGGGGCAAACCCACCAATCCACCCGAGTTTGGCTGTGAGCACAGGTGTGTGTTCTACTACAGTGACAGCATGTACGTGAATTTTCATAATTCTTCGAAACGCGAGTGGCAGTCTTTGAGCAGATCCCACTGGGATTCTGCGATCACACTCTTGAGCTGGACTTGTTCCTCACCGTCTTGTTGGTCAGGCTAGGAAATAGTCAGACCGGGTGTAGTTTCATGGAAACCTCCATTTGACTACCGAGTTGAGTCAGACTTTTAGTCAATATCTGTAGGTAAGGCACGTGAGACAAAACGTCTCGGGATGAACAGCCATAGAGTATCATCTCCTCCGTGGCACCATCACCAGTGATATTTTACCATTATCTGTTTCCTTCCTTTTTCACGATCATTTCCTCTTGTTTCAGTAAGTCCACTGAATGCCGAACTGTCAAGGAAGCGATGTCATCTTACAAAAATATGGTGTTCTATTTTAAGCTTTTTTCACACTTTCAAGTTGGTCAACAAACGACGCTCTCTATGGGCTTGTACTCTTTCGTCGAGCGCCAAAAGGATGTGTATACGACTAGCCTTCTAACCCACCATGCGATTACTAGACCACCCTTCGCGCCTCTGGCTCGCGGTACCTAAAGTGTCGGGGTCTTTCTCCGTTGAAATGCGGTGACTCATTCTTTAGACTGAACATCAGCGGATAATAACATGTACGCCATGTGACTTCGGAGCTCTATTGGAGTCAATAAGAAGCGACCTAAACTACAGTGTCTTTTTTGTTTCAGCTCGCCCTCCCACCTTCGTAAGTGACTTCTTCAGGATCTCCTCTCTCTGACTGGTCAGGAGCACGAACATTGTGATCGTTGCGGTTGAATGTGTGCACAACTCGTTCGCTTATCGGAGTCAGGACAATGCCTCTTAGGCCGTTTCGGAGCCGATATTAGTCTTGCCGACAATGGTGACCACTTTATTTAGCTATGCACTGATCACGATCTTTACCTTATTAGCACAGTTTTCTATCGCAAGCATTCGCACGGAGTCGCATAGCGCTGGCCAGACGAGAGGTTACCCTGGATTGATCATGTTGCCCTTGGTAATAGACGACACACATCAATACTGGATCGTCAATCGATCTTGAGCACATCTCACCCTTATGCTCGCTCTCATAACGCTAAGCTTTCCTATTTCTGCCATTTGATCCACTTCGAAGTCGTTTGTTCATCAAGTGCATTCGCCAATTGCGAAGTATCAATATCAGTATTACTGGCAATATCCATCACTGACAAGACAGGTGAGGGGACCGACTGTGGATTGGAATCGCCACCAATGCGCTTGTCTTCCTTGTTTAGGCATTTGAACAGTGGATAAATTTAGAGACCTTGAACTATCTTGATAGAAGCACGATTGCTTGATGACTGCATCGGGACGTACTTTCCAAGGTGCTCGTAACACTGAGGCGTCTGAGAACCGACTGCGAGCGGGTGGGTAGCAAGCTGGAAAAGGCCAGCACCACCGGAAACACCAGGATTCTTTTCCAACTCATCCGATGCACATGTTCAAGAGAGACACCCATAGCGAGATCGGTAGCTGGAAAGATGGTCGACTGATTCATTTTCAGTCACATCTACTGGAATGCTGGACCGATCACATTGAAGAGTCGGTCTGATTTGTCAGTATTGGATTAATATGGGACATCGGCGTAACAAATACCATCATGAACGAGATTTAACACGACCTGATACTGTTTAAGAGGGGAAGGTGCCTAGCTTAGACAGCCTTACACCGTCGTCATCAGACTACTGTGGAGACTCACTAATCACTGTGTTAGCGACTCTGTTCGCGTCATTTTGTGGAAGGAGGAATTCGTCTCTTTTTAGCAGCTACCAATGAATGTCTGGTTTCGGTCTTGTTTCGGTTGTCTCCCAACTACTGACCTATGTCATATTACGGCGGCTCGCTGATCCCTTTGAGAAAGGGATCGGTGAGAGCCACGGTTTCCTCTCCAGCAATTTCTCGAAAGACGCCATGCTTACAAACGGATTGTCATGATAAGCTTCATTGGCCTGAAGGCAAACTTTGATTTAATTAATTACACCAGCGTGGCGGTGTCCATTTTTAAACGTTGTGTTTGCAAAGCTTCTCTCCATTTGGAACTATATCACGACTCCAGTGACCATGCAAGTACCGGAGACTGCTTTATTGGAGCAGGCAACAACTTAACTCTTCACGACCCCACCGAAATAGGATCAAGACGTTAAAAAGTGTCCTGTAACATATAAAAATGTCTGACTCTCAATACCACATAAAATAAATAAATAAATAAACGTTTTATTCCTTAGCAGTGCGAGGCAAAGACCAATTGGGTGGTCTTATCAACAAATGTGAGGTGTCATTGCCAGGTCGCAGCGAGACTGGACCTTAACGTGGTGCGACGGTTTGCGTACCTCATTGACCCATTGAGCTGTACTGGGTGATGCCTCCGAGCATCTTGAGAGCTACTCCTACCAGGTTGGTCAATGGTGCGAGGTCAGACAAACTCAGTCTCCTGGTCCTCCAGGTTGGGGGTTTGAAATGGGATGGCGTCCATTTCTGTAAAACTAAATCACTGCCACCCCGCTGCCTTGCGGACAGGCTTTTGAGCCAAAGGCTTTGGATGAGGACCCTAATCGTTCTCCTGTCTAGGTCTGGGCTCCCTGGCAGTATCTCAGACCACATACAACCATGACATTTTCTTCAAACATAAACTTCATCCTGCATCGGCCGTCGCGCAGATTATCAAGGGTCGCCTTATCTGCTGCATACAGCAGGGCGGATAAGCGAAAACATGCTACTGCTGGCGCCTCCCTTCTTTCTTTTCCACCTTTTTCTCTTACTCCCATCCCGGCCCCCATTACTAACCTTCCTTCTATAATTCCTAGCTTAATTGACAGCAACCGAAGTGCTACTGGAGTAGAACCATCTGCAGCCACCATCCCACAGCACCTATCGGCAAAAGTCCCTTATTAGACCACGCTGTCCCGTTTCCACGGCGACATTCAACGTCCGCACTCTAAGACAAACAGGTCAGCAGGCTGCACTCGCACGCAC